ACAGAGTTAATTTCAAATTTACTTGATTCCTGGAACATATTTGAGAGCTAAGAAGGAGAAAAAACTTACTAAGCTTAGTAAAACTAATATATACATAAAAATAGGTAAACATTTAAAAAAATATTTTAATTGGGTACCTATTTCTTCATTCTTCTTCTAAAGACCAAAATGATGGAAGCTTGGATGTGTCTCTCGGACAAAGTGATGTACTACTCAATCCACTGACTTAACTCATTATAGATGGTTTATTCTGTAATTTACTAAGACTTTTGATGATTTCCAGACAACCTAAAGACATGGAAGCTTTTTCATATATAATATTTTAAGCTTCGTTAAGTAATTTACCAGTAAAGAATTTTAACAGGAGTTTGTTTTCTCCACAGACAGCTAATGAGGCATAATGAGTAAATTCCAACATTTGACAAAGTATGTAAAAGTAGATGGATAATGATTTTGTGAAGGATTAAGGCAAAGACTGCCACTAAAGAAAGGAAATCTGCCTGTAGTCATACAGAGATAGGTTTTTGCATCGTTATTAAAGGTTTCTCTCTCCTAAGCCTAATTCTAGACCTGTCTAATTTCAATTAGTTAGCATGAATATTTTAAAGAAAAAGCACTAATTGTCTTTTACTAAAAGTTGGCTACCCTGATTAGACTCTTAGAAATGCTTTCTTTGAATGTGTTATCTTTTTTATTTTTGGGGGTTTTTTTTTTGCTATTTCTTCATTCATTTACATAAAGGGATTAAGAATAATCATATCTGTCCTAGGCGTTCTCGCTGATCCTAAGCCTCTTGAATATTTGACAGTTTTGCGTTGAGAAGCATTCCTCTCATGTTATCCCTGAGTTGGGGGCAGTGGAAGGTGCCCAAATGTTCCACAATTTAGTTTGCTAGATAATTTGTTCTTTGACAGCTCCATCAAGAAAATGAATTTCATTTTGACCTCCACAAATGCTCACTGTCAGGAAGATTTACTTTGCCATCAGTGAGCACACATTTGAAGAACTACAGTAAGCTGTGATCATGTCTGTTTATATGCTGATTCTGCTGTAATCGTCTAATTCAGTAAGTGTTTGGGTGGCACTTATTATATGCAGAGGTGACTCCCTGAGCATAGGCCAAGATACACTAAGATGTCACATCCCTCTAGGATGTCCAGATTCCCCATCTCTCCACCTCACCAACTTGACCCTTATATTAGCAACAATGTGGGCCATTGTAGAAATGCTGCCTTCTTGGTTCAGATGCATTCTCTATTCTTGCAAGAGTGCATGTTAGAGAATTTAACCTACCTTTAATTAAAAGGAGATTATTTCCCTCATGTCTTCTCTTCTTTCTCCCAGTGACTGAGTACACGCTATGTGGTAGCTATTACATATAGATATGCATTAAAGCAGTAGTAGGAGAAGAGAGAAGCGTCGGAGAAGAGAGTAGTAGTAGAAATTTACCATGGGATGGGTAATTAAGAAGAAAGACCTGATGGGAAACCAGAAGTAACTCCAGCCATCTAAGGAGAAAGTAGGAAAATACAGAGAAACTGGCAGTACTATTATGCCTTCTATTAAATATGCAGCAGCTGTGTGAAGGTGTTTAAAAACAACCCAGGAGTCAATCATGTGCATGTGTGTGTGTGTGTGTGTGTGTGTGTGTATTTATTTGTATATGTGTATGTATACATATACCTATATATGTCATCTGCTTTCTGAAAGGATAAAACAAGATAATATATATTTAGGCTTATATTCCCAATGTTTAGTAGACTGTCTGCAGCCCATTCGGCACTAAATAAACACTTGTTGAATAAATGATTATGATCAGGCAATGGTGCTCTCAGTTCTAAGGTGCTGCCCACTCGATTTCAGCCACAAGTACCTCATTTGCACCGTGTTTTCCCAGGCTATAGTATCGTCAGTAGTGATTCCCATCAGGCTCTTCTTTCCTAGGGACACTTGCCAGGTCAAAATACAAGGTGTGTGTTTATTTCCGGAGCAAGTGCAAAAGAGAGCATGATCATTTGATGTCAGACATAGGTCAGGGATTCTCAAACTAGAATATCTTCAATTGTTTTTTAGTACAGTAACATTCAATTTTGATTAATTTAAAAATATACACTGCATGCCACTGTATGCTTATGTTAAAGAGTGGTGTTATGAAATTAACCCAAACAATAAATTTTAAATCACTCTGTGTCTAAACAGCCTATGCACTAATATCACAAAAAGCAAATGTGGGCATTTCACAAATTGTTTTCCAGAATCATTACATAATTAGAGGTACACAGAGTTTCTTGTAATACTAATACAGTGGTGTTTGAACACATGCATTTAAGAAGTGAAAAATCCCCATGGAAATTCACTTCATAAAATCAACACCCTGGAATGACTTACACTTTTCCAGATCCTTCATCCAAATCCTCAGCAGCTGAGCTCATTCTGAATGAAACTGCATAAAAGTGATTACAAGAAAAAGTAGTAGAAGTTTGCAAAATAAGTAGCCGGTAATTAGAAATATAATTTTGAACAAGGCAGCCTGGTGAGAAGGCGCAAAGGGAAAGTGAGGTCTTTTACAAAGACTTCTAAATCTTACAGGACAGATTCTAGTCAATTCAGATGACTTAGAAAATGGGGCCAATATACTCCGATGGGATGGACAATATATTTTAATTAATACGGTGTTCAGCCTTTAGATCCTGAAGGCAGGTTTTAACTATAAATCTTACAAATCAGAATTAAAATAGGAAGTATGAATAAGAAAGCTTGTTGAGATAAAGTTTTTAAAACAATATCGGACCACAGGATATGGAATGAACATTCAAACTGTAGTGATGATGGTCATAATGAGAGTTAGGAAATTTTATGTCTTCAAAATAAAGACACTATAAATTCACAGGAATGATCTGGAAATGTCCAAAGAAGGTAGATTAGAAATTAGGACAGAAGGAGTTAATGTTGTGTCAAATCTATCTAATTTATACTCTCTCTTTGCAGCTAGATTGTCTCAGAACTTGTTGAACTGTCTTCCTTTGATGTTATAAAAATACCTACTTGCCAAGGTTGAGTGCAGTAAGCTAATTAATATTGTGGTAAGGACTTAAAGGCAAAAATTTTATGTAATCTGTTCCCCAAGGGGTTAATAAAACTCTTTCTCGTTCTTCATTAGAGAAAGAAAACCAGAATTGTCTCTACTTAAATGTAAATGTGGCTTAGGAATGACACTAATACCACTTGGTATTTCTTAAGTTAGCCTGCTCTTTCTACACTGGATAAAAATAAAGAAAAGAAAGCATCTAAAACAGAACCGCCCTATTACAACCCAAATTTGCCCATGAAAGCAGAAATTTTCTGGCCTGCATCTATGCGTTTTTTCCACTTTTCCGCAGCCTCCCACACTATAATGACTTATGCACGGAATTCAAGGACTTTATATTTTCTTATGAATGCCAATATAGAAAATGTGAATGCTGACCATTTTCAAAGATACTCACAGACCCTTAAAGAAACGGAATAGTATCCAGAATGATATTTGGTCAGTCTGGGATACCAAAATTCTAGTACATTCCTGGTCTTTACAAGATGGGAATATTTACCTTTATGGCATGTGCTTAGTCAGAATAGCTTGCGATTTTTGGTGGGGAGTCAGAGTCCTTTTCAATAGATTGAAGTGACCCAAAACCAGCATTTCAGTTAATCTTGTTTATGATTGAAATCAATAAGCCAATCCATGTTATGTGCTGACAGTTCTTGTGTGGTGTAAAAACTGGAAGTGTCTGCTCTTGAATAAGATTTTTCTTTTACAGTCCAGTCATTAGGTTTCATTATGGGACAACATTTGGACTAGTCACTTTTATAAGGTTGAGTTTACATTGGTATAATTTGTTGCCTTTAACGAAGGCTTTGAATAATTTAAGGCAAAAAGGATGGATACCTGGAATGTGTTTATATTCTGACCTTATCTTATGTCTGGTTTTCTTGTTTACTTAAAATTTTATGGCCAAATGCTAACAGAAGTATACAAACTAAACTCCTTAGAAGCCAAAGAGAATGAGACTGAAATTTCTGAAGAATTATTTCAGTTGTCTTATCATGCTCACTTCTTTTTGGGTCACCCGAATTCCTGCCTGAAGAGTTTAGACTTTATATCTACTAAAGATGTGTGGAGGGAAGAGGTGGCAGTAGAATCGCATTCCATAGATGAAGTTTGTTGGCTCTCTAAGCCTGGGTCTTAGAACCGGGGCCTACTTTGAATCCAGGCTTACCTCCTAGATGTATGACCTTGGGCAAGTTATTTAATTTCTGTAAGCTTCAACAGTACTAGCTTGCTAGCGGGTCATAGCAGCAATGAGATGCATGTAAATGTATTTATCCTAAGACATTTTAAGTGGTGTGTGTTATGCTTTCTTATGCATGAATTATGTGTTAATATGAGCTAAACTGGATTACTCCATGTTCTTAGTCACTCCCTGGAGTAAATGCATTCTGGTAGTTTGGGGTCTGTATTAGCTCTTTCACACACTAATACATTACACATGCTGTCTCTATAGCTCAAGTTTTGCATGAACAGTTCCCTGGTGGCCTTCAGTGCAATTCAAACCAAACAGCCAATAGATTTCTGTAACGATTTGTGTCCACAAAAGTAAATCAGGAAAGCATCTAAGCTAGAGCAACTAGTTTCTTCCAGTGAATTTTATTAGTATAGCAATTCAAATATTTTCCTAATGGAATTTTAAATATTCAATATGTATATCTTTATTCATTAATAGATCAATCAATCCAGCTGCATTTACAAGTATTGTTAATGATTTTTGACCAGAAATATTGAATGTGAAATTGTCTTCTACTATTAGGCTGCTTCTTAAAGAAATAACCTTATTAAGGCTATTAAATAGAAGCTTTATACAATCTCTTAATCTTTCATAGCACAGCTTAAGTGCTCTCTTCCAAGATATTTTGACTTTAGAACTATATCCTGAACTATGTATATTTCTTTAATTTTTTAATAGGTGGTGCAATGACAAAACTTACTCTCTTCTTCAATCAGTGAATTTGAAGTAATCTTTCACCGTTTCATCTCCTTTAGTCTCATATGGAATGTATCCCTCTATCTGTTGTTAAACTACGATGACATGTCTGTAGCTATCAGAAAGAGAAGCTGGGAAGAACATGTGACCCAATGGATGGGACAGCCTTTTAATTCTGATGATTGTAACACAGCATGTCATCATGGACTAGTAGCTGACAGCTTGCAGGCAAGTATGGAAAAAGATGCAACTCTAAATGTGGACCGCAAAGAAAGGTGTGTTTCACTACCAGACTGCTGTCATGGCTCAGAGCTGAGAGATATTCCTGGGAGGCCAATGGGTCACATTTCAAAGGAGGTGGATGAAGATGACAGCCGTGAAGGTGAAGATCAGTTTCTTTCTCTGGAAGCCAGCACGGAAACACTAGTGCATGTTTCTGACGAGGATACTGATTCTGATCTATATCTTACAGATGATAAACAGATTTTAACTACTCAAGGGCCTAAAACGTCAGAACAACATAGCATCAAAGGAGCAGGCTCCTTCGTAAAGACGCTGCCCATCATGGAAAGTAACCAAGGTTCTTATGACTCCTGGGGAATGGCTGGTGGAGCTGATTTAGTGCTGGTAGAGGAAAAGGGGGACAGAAAAGTTGTTGACATGGTGAGTAAAAGCCTGGAGCTTTGTAAGGATATAAGCCTAAGTGAAATAAAAGATGCATCCAAAATGAATGCATGTGACTCTTTGAACGTGAAAGATATTGTGCCGGAAAAGCAATTGCTTAATTCTGCTGTAATTGCTCAGCATCGAAGGAAACCCGACTTCCCTAAAGATGAACATGAAAGAAACACCTGCAGTGCAGTACAAGATGAGCTCTTGGCTATTCCTTGTGCAGACAGAGGACTGCCATTATTAAAAACAGATTCTGGAAGCTGCCTTCTGCAGCCTCCTTCCTGCCCTAGCGGAATGTCAGCTGAAAATGGCCTGGAGAAGCGTGGTTTCTCAGAACATCAAAACAGAAGTCTTCCAAAGGTCAACTCAGGAGATGGCATGCAGTGTTTACACATAAAGGAGACTCTGGCCACCCATGAACCCACAGATAACCAAGTCAGACTTCGTAAAAGAAAGGTAAGACACATGCACCTATTATCTGGCTTTTGGAATTGTGTAAATATCCTTGTTTCTGTCACTTATTATTTTGCTAGAGTTAAAAAGATATGTGGACGTTTCTTTTGCTCAGTAGTGTAGCTGTATGACTCAAAGAGCATCTTCTTGGGGGAAATCATCAAAATATGTAAAAATTAAAACAGGATAACCTATCCATTTCACTAATAATATTTATAATGGTTCATGAACATTCTATTTTGGAATTGTGTTGAAGACAGAACTGGTTTCACTTTCTTTGGCTGGCATTAAATAGCCACCAGATAGTTCAAAGTGTATCTAAAGAGTGATCTCTAATTTTTAGAAAGAATGTCATGGTAATTTTTAATTAAAATTGTTTATTTCAGCTTGCTTCTTTTCCCTTTAAAAAGTATATTTTATTATAATAAAAGTGGTATAAATCACGTATTTTAAATGAGTCCTTTGCATATACCAAGGCAACAGTATCCCCTCCCCCAAAATATGCTAATGCTATTTTAAATGATACCCTGGCACATTTGCTATCCATAGCTACATGAACATTTTTTTTAAACTCTTGACCATAAAGGATGACTAACTGAAGTAAATTTTTATGCTGAGGCACCTTTGACTAATCCTGTAGATGCCATGATCCCCCAAGAAGTTTCCAAGTGAGAGACACAAGGATTGGAAGGAACCACATGGATCATGATTTAGTTAGAGAACTCTTGACCAAAGTCTGTCATACCTTTAGGATTTCCCCAGCATTCTTCCCGCATTGTAGTACTCTATAATCCTGATGTAAATACAAGTAAAATTTCTTCTGTAAATCCAACATGCCCATTGGCATCAAAAAAACCCTGCAGATTGGACACTTTGGTGCAACATCCTTGCCCTTCTCTTGATATAATACTAATCCATAATTCCTATTCTCCTAAGACAAAACTAAGGTTCTTAGTTCTGTTCAACTGGGGCTATCTACAATGAGAAAAAAAAAATCTTCAACTCTCTTTTGGTGAAGAAATCTGGTTTCCATAAACTGTAGTTTTGCTAACAAACTATATCAGTAACATGTCATAAGTTAAAGTGAAGTCAAAGACTTTACAGCAAAGATCAATGTGCTCAAACTACATGCCAACAGAGCTTTCTGTGCTTCTGGCGAGCTCTTCCTTCTTTACATAAATTGTATTAAAAAGTTAATGCTGCATAATGTTGTTATGATTGGACTGCTCAGGTCGCTTTTTCAGAAATGTCCATATAGTCTATCAAATCTGTTGGAGGGAATGTAATAATGACGTAAGAAAGTACTAACTGACCTATGACATAGCTTCCCTAAAATAAGACAGACCCTGCCCAACTGCCGACAGAAACATTAAACATTCCAGAAACATATGCTAACCACTTGGACATTTATATCAATACTAAGAATGCTGGAAAGAATTTGCTCTTGGACATGTCACTATAGCGTAGTTGCATTACAAGAGCCATAATTATATCTCATTTACAAGTTCTAACTTAAATATTCTATTTTAAGCATTTCATCATTCTAAAGTGTTGTGGTATTGTCTGGTGGAGTATTTGTTTTGACTCTACAACTCATTTGGGATGCTTTGTAATAAACAGATTAAATGCAAAGTTTCAGGTTTGGAATTTACTCTGGGGAAGTATGATTATGGGAGAAGCCTCTAGAAGCAAAATGTGTAGGAATTTTTGTTCTATCTGATGTTGAATGAGTGCTGAAATACCTTCAAGTTGTGTGCTAACCATTTTAGAACTTTACCAAAAGAAAAAACAAAATAAATTCATAAAAATATATGTACAGAGATGTTCATCATTGTATTATGGGTTACTGACAAAAAAGATACAATCCAAATTTCCATCAATAAAGGATGTATAATGATTGTTTAATCTATAGTTTGGAATGCTATGCAGCCATGAAAAAGATGGAGTGAGATCCATGTGCTCTAACTGAACGGTGCTCATGATATAATATATGTAGAAAATGACAGTGGCAGACCAATATTTGTAGCACATCCCAACCTTATATGATGAAATGTGTGGATACAGATAGAAATATAGATGGGTTATAAACCTCTCCAGATGACTAAGTAAGAATATGCAAAATTCTAGATGAATAGGCACAAAATTGTTGACAGCAATTACTTTGAGAGAATGGAAGTAAAAGGATAGAAGCAGGGGATTTTCAATTTTTAGCCTATATAATTTTTATAAAAGGTGATAGTATTCTGGGTGAAATGCATACAATGAACAGAAGTACAAAAACAAAATAATATTTGATATATAAACTATTTGAAGCATTTTCTGCATGGCACAAAACAACCCTTTATCTATATAGTTATTATGATTATTATTTTACTCTTATGAAATGAAAACAAATATGAAGTTTTTCAAAATATCAACAAAAGTTTAAATCAACTACTGCAATTCTAATGCCAGTGCAACTAGTTTAAAACAGATAAACCTTTTGGAGAGACACATGGACCCCATTTTCATGTCTAAAGTGTTAGGGGACTGATTCTGAAAAGAGTTGGCTTAGTTGTATCTTTTAAACTATTTGTCAACCACTGTGACAGCTTTGAGATTAAGAGCTTAGAAAAGGTGAAATATAATATAAGCTAATAAAATTTTAGTTACGGAACTTTTTTTTTTTTTTTTTTTTTTTT